CAGACAAACGCATGACAACAGCCAAAGAGGAGGCTTCCTAGGCTTTAGGCTGGAGAATCATTCTTCTCATATGTGTCTGCGACTGATAGTGCTGCTTGTCCGGAACGGCTGGTATGGCACAGCTATCACTAGATGCCAAAAGACTGCCGAGTTATACAGAGGCAACGGCAACAAATCACTTATTTTGTCTCTAGGCTTTTGTATACTTAACTTTCAATTTCAATTTTTATTGTAGAAAAATTTAAATTATTTGCAACATTGTGTATATTCTATGCATATTCAAATTGAAGAGTATTTGGCTCTTTTCCCTAATTAATTTGTTCCCCCTCTGTTTTAAATGCAAATTTCCGCTTGCATCTTTGGCGATCTGGGGCACAAGCACAGCAAGCGTGAGTGAGCGAATGAGTTACTGCGAATTGCACTTTTGCTCTAGTCGGCAGAAAGACGATTAATAAAACTTCTCGCTTTAGCAGTTTGCATTAATCTACTTTTAATTAATTAATAACCTCGCATAGCCATTTTCGTTCATTCATTTGGATTAAAACTACTGTGATAGCGGTACTACTGCTGTTGGTAGTGTTGTTTTTGCGCTCTACAAATGTAGCCACTTCTAGGACGGTGACTTAAGACGAAGATTTTAAGAGAGGAGCCACTGGATGATAAATGTGCGGCCAGTGTCGAATCGACAGAGTCGGTTTGTGCTTTAAAGTCGCCTCTTTTGCCTCTCAAAGTCAATTGCCAGCATCGGAAATCAACGGAAGAGAAGGAAATTGTCCAAATGCTAAATTAATTATTCGAACCTCGACGAAGAGCATCTGAAGAGCATCTTGCGCCTCAGCAGCAACAGTAATAGTGGCAGCAGTAGTGGAAGTCAGTGGAACACCAGCATTTCTCGCCCTCTCTCGGTCTCGTCTTCACTGGTCTTCCAATGGTTTTCAGCCACCACCACCACCAGTCTTCAGTCGCCTCACTCTCTCATGGCCCGTAGTGCCAATGTCGACTTTAATTATGGTTATGATTGATTATTAATATTATCACTTGCCGTCTTGTGCGTCTTCGCATGTCGTCCGTATGGTTCGCCTTTGCAAACTCGGTGTTGCTCGGTTTTGTGTTTGCCTTTGCACTGCCTTCGCGCCACTCATCCAGCATCCATCGATTATGTTCAAATATTAATAAATCGCGGACACTCGGACAGGCAGGCAGACTCGCTGGCTGTTCACTTCGGTTCACTTCAGTCCAGTCCAGTGCAGTTCAGTCCTGGCCACCCATTCAACCACTGGCCTGCTGCACCAGTCACTCTGCTCTTCCCTTTTCTCGACGGCCGCTGCTGTTGGAGTTGTTGACCGCAGTGTTGCCAACTTGTTTCCATGTCGCTCCAAATGCAAACCGTACAGACTTCTGTATGGCAGCAGCAACAGCAACAGCAGCAGGAGGAGTAGACAGCAGGAACAGACAGCCAAGAAGGCCGTCTTTGTTTCTCCAAAATTCCTTTGCATAGATTAATGCTTATCTGTCGGTCGATCAAACTGCTGGTCGATTCACTGCTTTATGCTGACTACTCACACTGGTGGTGGTGGGGGTGCACTTAGTCAGGGCAACAAAGCTCACTGTTAGTCCAATTGAGGTCGAGGGAAAAGTTTGCGCAAAATGAGTGAACGAAAAAGTCCAGCCAGCCAATATTCGATCTTCAATATATGATTCTGGCAGACAATGTTTTTTGGCCTTCTACTGACAACTGGTCCATGTGGAAGGGGACAAAGCCAATTCAAATGTCAAATGTTTGTGTGCACTTTTCAAAAGGTTTTTGTACCATAACGGCACTGAGCCATCAGCAGGCAGCATATCTAGTCTGATTTCTAATTGAGCATTAACTGTAAAAAGAAAAGTTTGTGTACGATTGAATTTAATTAAATTTAGTTTAGTTTTTTTCCTCTACACTATTAATTCCGATCAAATTATTTATACTTTTCAAGCATTTTTATATTATTATCTTCATCTCTGAACTATTTCTCAGCTTACATTGTTTCAGTGAATGAAAGTGCATCGGCACTTTAATAATAATTCCTCATTTCTAGTTTTCAATAGATTTTTTTCAAGAATTCTTTTTCTGGCATTCGATTCAATCATGCTGCTTTTCTGTCGGCAGAACATTTGTTTTGTTTTTATAACTGGTTCACAATTTTTAAAGAATTCCACTCCGAAAACAGAAAATTTTGATTTAAAAATGAATTTTGTTTTTTTACTCAGGTCAACTTACTGCTCAGCCCTACTTTTGCGGTTTTTGGGTGCCCAATGAATCGTTAGTGTAACTAAAAGGTGCTGTTTTTAAAGCACAAAAGACATGATTCTTAAAAATTGAGTTTGAGGCCACCAATATAGACTGGCGTTTTTTACTTGTTTCGATTGCCCAAATCGATCTACTTTTAATTACTTTTGACCAAAAAGTCAAGTCAATTGAAAAGACAGACAGTGAGCTGAATTGCAACAAAGCACTTTTGCTAGAGAAAAAAATGAACTTTTGCTTTTTGATTCAATTTTACTTTGGTACTCCCACTGTTCGGAAAGCCTTGGAATCGAGCATCTCAGAATTGTCTGGCGACGACTCGAATAATGATTGATCTCGAGTTATTGGATTGTTAATTAAGTATATAATTCGAGCCATCGGAACTTCTTTGGCTGCAGAGAAAGAAAAAGAAGAAGAGCATCGTGCAGCAGGAATGTTGCAACGATGCCCCTAATTCCTCATAATTAATTCACTTTGGGTCAATACCCACAGAATTTGTCTGATTCAACTGATCGCCTGGGTCGAGAAAAGGGAAAAGGAAAAGGGAACGGAAAAAGGCGGAAAGAGTCGAACGGAACGAGTGCAGGCCATGGTGGTAGTAGTGCTGCTGTTGCTGTTGCCGCTGTTAGTCTTGAGAATAGTAATGACCATCTTAATCATAGGCACGGCAGGCACAGGGTAACTGCTACCACTGCTGTTGCCGCGCAGTCATCGCCGTTGACGAGCGTACATTCGCCGCCGCCACCGACATATATCGCTTCACTTGCCACACTAGGTTCTACTCTTTGCTTTCCGTCTCGATTTCGTGAGCAGAATCGGTAATTAAATCAAATATTTGTTTTAAGTTGCATGTGTGAGCTGGTGAATGCTGTGCTTGCCTGTCTGTCTGTCTGTGAGTTCACTTTCACTCCAACTCATTCTTCATCTTCCAGTGACTTTCCACTGACTTTTGGTAGATTCCTTCTCTTCTCTTCTCTTCTCTTCCTTTCCTCCGTTTCTTCACTTTCACTTGAGTACACTTTTATATCCTTTTTCTCAGATAAGACGGCACACTAATGTTCCTGCACCGACCGACACGGCCACTTCAGCACAGCGGTAACAGTTTGCTACAGCTATTGCTGCTGCTGCTGTTGATGTATTCGGTATTGCATCGAACTGTTCCGAGTGCCTTGTGCAAACTCTGACTTTTCTCTTTCCTGTGCTCCCTATCGACTTTGGACGCCTAATTTCTGCCGTCTGTTGGCACACAACTTTTTCTTTTTTTCCTTCCTCAAATTGTTACACTGCTGTCGGTCTGCTGTGTAGTGCTAATTGCCTTTGCTGACCATCGGTCTGCCATGAGTGCTGGCAGTCGCTTCTTCAGTGGGTGGCAGGCAGGCAGGAAGCAAGACAAGAGTCAGACATTTTGTGCTTTCTGTGGCTTCTCCAGTTTTTCTTCTGCACACACACACACTTACACAATCGATCCAGCTAAATTAGTTGTAGTGTCGTCGACTTTTTGTTTTCCCAGTACGCGATGGCTAATTCGATTGGCCTTGCTCGGTCCTTGTTGACATGTTTTACCTCTGGCGCTGTCCTGCTCTGTAAACGGCGGCGCCATCTTTTACACCATCATTCTCTCCGAGTGGATAGAGAGTGAGAGAGTATAGTCGTTTAATTAAGAAAGCTGCACATCTACCTCTGCATTCTTTGTTCTTCTTCTTCTTCTCGCACATGTGGTGATGTAATTGAATTTGCACACTACACAGACACCGAGAGATGTTCGCCGCACCACAGGCAACGGTCGATAGCAATTCCTCAATGGGCAATTCATCCTCTCTTCCTCTCCTCTTTTTCTCAGTTACGTTTTAATTAAAAGGTAAACAGTCAATATTTGCATTTTAATTAAACTGACTGCTGCCGACTGTGCATCGCCCGCATCGGGCACCATCTTGTTTGGCTTTGTCTTTGCCCTCTCTGCCGCCACTTTCTTGATACACTTGATACTTTTAATTAAGTGAAATTGAAATATCATTGCCATTTCACTGTTTGTTTGACTTGTACTGTTTGCTGTTTGCTTTACCTGAAGGATTAATTTGTAAATGTTTTTTTCTCTATTCCCCATAGGTGATTCCTGAAGACAGTGATGCATTAGGGTTGAATGCGGAGGCGTGAGGATGTTCACTAACATTTAAACCGTTGAAAAGAAATACATACATTTGAGCAAAACACCGAGAAACCAGAACACATGGTTGGACAGCCCGTGCGGCAGTAAACTGCCTAGAGAGACTAGATCGGACACATCGGACTAGATGCGAAGATGATGGAATCGATGAGTCGCTTTGGCCGCGGCATCAGCCGCCACCCCATTCCGCCCATTCCACACTCGGAGGACTCAGAGACGGACGAGTACAATGTCATCGACTCTGACCGGCAGTACGAACGCATTGGCGATCGGGGCTCCTCCTCCACGGGCACCTCCTCCTCGCGTTCCTCCAACCAGGGAGCACTGGTCGACCCGCTGATCCTCCACAATGGCGGCGGAGGCACCATGGGCAACCACAGCCTCCACAGCGCACACCCCTCAGCAATGTTTCACCCTCACAAGGCGACGGGCACCCTGGGCACCACCAAGGGCCACCACCACCACCAGCCACACCAGCTGACCACGCACTACGCAGAGTCGGCCATCTACCGACGATCTCGAGGCGGCGGCAACGGCGGCGCCAACGGAAGCATGCTCGGCTCGCCCGTGGACGCCGAGCCGCCGCTGATTCCCGAGTCACAGCTGTTCATGTCCGGCTCGGGCGGCGGAGTAGTCGGCAACGGCGGCAACTCTACGACCATTCTCGACGGCGGCTGGAAGTCACAGCACTCGACGCTCGAGTTTGGCCACCTCAATCAGCTGCAGCAGCACCAACAACAACAACAGCAACATCAACAGCAACTGCAGCACAGCGCTGCGGCGCAGAACTCGACGATGCTCTCGACGCTCGATTCGACGACAAACGTCTCCAATGCGACGACCACCACCTCGGTTCATGCGGGTAACATGGCGCCCATCTACGAGTCGACCTGTCTCATGCGAACTGCCTCAGGATCGCTGTACATCCCAAGTGGTGAGTCATCATAGCAGCAGTGGCACAATTGAGCGCACTTTCCAATCATACCACTTTTTCCTTCCCACCAGATAACAAAGGAGCTTTCCTCGCCCCAAAGCCAATGCAGTCAATAAACGAGTTCACCATTGGTGGAACACTGAAGAAGCCTGACCGGTAAGACCGGAGACGCCAAATTAATGATAGCCACTGTTCACTGGGCCATTGCTAACTTTATTTCCAACTTTATTTCCTCATTCTGCAGGTTGCCCCAGGTCGGAGCAAATCTTCATAGTCACTTTGGCCGGCCACTTGGTTCTCATCTGACCGGCTCTCGATTTGCTTTCCGCAAGGTTCTCTCCCTGCAGTGCAACTGGAAGTACATCGCCATTGCGTTCATGCTCCTCACAATGGCTCTAATCATTGCAATTACTTATATTATGAGTAAGTGTCGCCGTCAGTTTTCTTGCACCAGAATCTCCGTTTGCATTATCTAACCTAATTTCTTCCTCCTCCTCTTTTACTTTAGGTTCAGCGCTGTCAGTCGCCAGTCTGGCTCAAAGCACCAACTGTCCTGTGATGGTAGACGACATTTTAGAGCTTACCCAACCACCGCAACAAATGACCGGATCCGGTAATGGCCATTCGGCAATCAATCCTTTCCTGCAACCGGGGCCTAAAAGTAAGCCTAGTGGTGGTGGCGGTTATGGTAGAGTAGTCCTACTCAAGCACACCTTTAGACATCGTCGCCTGCTTGCCCTGCATGATGATGATCATTTGCATGTTGATCATAACACTAACTCACACCCTAACTCCCAGCCTGCTTTACTCACACAATCAAACACATTGCATGAACTTCTACTAACCACTAAACAGCAAACACGTACTGAAGTGACCAGTTTAGCGGCTGCTGAGACAGTTAACTTTGAACAAGAGGTTAGCACTGCTGCTGTTGAACTGATAGACAACAGCAAAGACAGCATTCCACTCAATGAATCAATCCCAACGACGACGATGGTCAACAATTATCGAGAAAAGAGGTTTCCTCCTTCCTCTCAGTGGGCAAGTGATCAAGTGACCACCACCAGTGAGGCCATTTATTACCCAGATGGAAGAACGCAGCAACCAGAAACAGCAGCATCAGTCAGCGCAGAGACTGGCCAGTGGTCAGTGGACGTACCACTCAGTGACCAGACAGAGCCAGCAGAAGAGGAGACGGCAGTTCTAATTAACACGAACAGTAGCAGTGCAGGGGAGGAAGTGACCACCACCACTGACACCAGCACTGCGAGAAAGCCTCCGTCTCAGCGGTGGATAAGTCCGCGGTCTAATGGCACTTTCGCGGGGAGTCAGTACCTAAGTCAGGAGCAGCAACTTTTCGTAGCTGACACCACTCCTAATGGAGCTAATTTGTCCAGTGCTGCCATTGTCACTGCTACCACGTCTGACTGCTGCAATTCACGGCTTCCCCCGCAAAACCCCCGTTCAGCAGTGATCAGTTCGGTGGTCGTGCAAGTGAACCCACCACCACCACTACTACCCGTTTTCTATGGCCAGCCAAATCGCATTGATGAGGAGCCTGCAATGGATGAGCCTTATGGTGGCCGCACAGTGCCTATGCGTGACCGATTAGAACAGCAGCAGTCTGCCAATGACTTGATGATGAACAATTGGCAGCAGTACTACAGTCATATGCTAGGTGGTGGTAGTGGTGGTGATAGGGTACAGCAGGATACCCAGTATGGCTCATTTCGAGCGCAAACAAGTCACAGTTCAGGCTTGTGGTCGATGATTAGGTACTTGAGAGAGCGACTGTCTCGAGAACGACGGCGACATCGTCGTTTGGTGATGCGTTCTCTCATTGCATTGATGCAGTCCACTTTAGAGCGAGACGATGATGACGAAAAGCTTCTTTTTAGCTTCCTAGCTGCATCACTGAGAAATAGAAGTGAATCACAATTGAAGGTAGCTCCCAAAGTATTGAACAATAGCAGCAGCAGCAACTCTCGCAGTGTTCGCAGCAAGCCAACTGTTTCGGTCGCAGACTCTCAGACGCTAAACTACCAAGTGCTCAATGACATCTACACTACTGACTCTTTGCATGTACTCAATTCTGTTAACAATATTGATGATGAGTTTGTGATTAACCTTTTGAAAGAAAAAGCTAACCCAGTGGATCCTGTCAGTCTAAGTCGTAAGTGCATGCCGTTTTAGTTTACTAACTGCTTTTTACTTCTGCTTTTGTCCAAACTTTTTCACTATATTTTAACACACTAACTTTTTGTGAATTTTGTTTGTAATACCTAATTTGCTAACCAATCTTTTCCGTTCCCAGAAGCCACATCAAGTCATCATCATGTGCCATCATCTGCCTCCGGCTCTGCGGCACCTTTCACCAACATTCAGCAAATCGGCCGAACGTACTCGCAACGAGTTTCGGGCCAGGGCTACTGGCACCTTCGGTACCACCAGGCGGAGGCAGGTCTGGTCAAGTTCAACGTCAGCTTCCCCTCGGCAGTTGCCGTCGCATCGGCGCCCGTTCTCGCCATCTACGGCAACCAAGACAAACTGGCCACCCACACTCGATACGACTTTGTGGAGTTTGTCGGTCGAGTGGCAGTGGCCACTGGCGGACCACGGTCCAAACGGGCGAATGATGTTCCCTACCTGGGTGGACATCACATGAAGGTGACCAGCATTCAGAAGGAGTTCACCAAGTACCTCGACTCGGGTGTTTGGTTCTTCACCTTCTTCAACGATGCGCCCTCTCATGTGGACATTTCCCTGGATCTGACCATGGCCGCCGAAGAGCTCTGTCCCTTCAACTGTCGTGGTCATGGCGTCTGCATTGCCGGTCAGTGCAAGTGCGACACCGGCTACAATGGAGAAAGTTGTGATCTCAGTAAGCTTTTCTTTCAATTCAGTGTTAGATCATTTTTAACTAATTCACCTTTTTTTCAGTGACCTGTCCGGTGCTGTGCTCAGGTCGGGGGCAGTATCTGAACGGCGAATGCGTGTGCAACTCAGGGTGGAAGGGCAAGGAGTGCAACCTGCGCGATGATGAATGCGAGATTGCCAACTGCAACGGCCACGGAGACTGCGTCGACGGAAGCTGCCACTGCTTTCCCGGCTACAAGGGCGAACACTGCGAACACGTGGACTGTCTGGACCCGAAGTGCTCGGGACACGGGCACTGCATGTCTGGGGTTTGCATGTGCGGCAAGGGATGGAAGGGCGCTGATTGTTCGGAGCCGGACACCGAGGCGATGCACTGTCTGCCCGATTGCTCTGGCCACGGCAACTTTGACCTGCAGCTGCAGCAGTGCATCTGCGATGAACGATGGACTGGCTCTGACTGTTCTCAAGGTACGCACACACACTATTTGTCTCATTAAACTTCACTTATCACTAATGTTTGTTATTCTTAGAACGTTGCGATCTGGACTGCGGCACAAACGGACACTGTGAAGGTGGCGAGTGCATCTGCGACGAGGGCTGGAGTGGCCAGAAGTGCATGACTCGCCTCTGTGATCCTCGCTGTTTGGAGCACGGTCAGTGCCAGAATGGAACCTGTCTCTGCACGAAGGGCTGGAATGGACGACACTGCTCACTTGGTATGTGTGACCAGAATATTGACCATTCATCCAAATGCTAAAGATGACAATTTTTTCTTCATATTCACAGAGGGTTGTGCAAACGGATGCAGCGGTCACGGAGAATGCAATCGCCAGGCAGGCGAGCTGAGTGACCAAGAGGAGTGGGCTTGCACTTGCGAGAATGGCTTCTCTGGTCTCGACTGTAGCGTTCAGCTCGAGTCAAACTGCGGTGATAACATCGACAATGACAAAGGTAAGTGATGCGGTGGTGCACTGCTGTTGTTGCGTTGGCGAATTGATTTCCATTAATTGATGCCATCTTTTCTCTCTCTCCCTTTCTTAACTTTAGATGGACTCGTCGACTGCGCCGACCCCGAATGCTGTCAGAGTAAGTGTCAGGTTGATTTGAGTTCACGTCTTTAGAGATGAGGCCTTTCCTCTCTTCTCTTTCCTTTTCTTGTGATTAATTAATTAGCATTCGTTTCCTACTCTTCATTATCCTTTTTCTACAATTGTCTGCCACTTACTAATTAATCTTCTCATCACTCTTTCTACCCTACCACCACCACTCTACAGGTAAAGAATGCGAGGGCAAGCAGCTTTGCTTCAGTGCATCCGATCCGCAGGACATCCTGCTGCGCAAGCAGCCACCTGCAATGACCGCCTCATTCTACCAGCGAATGCAGTTTCTCATTGAGGAAGAATCCACTCAGAGCTACGCTGAAAAGTTTGCGTTCAACGACAGGTAGGAATGACTTGAATAGAATGGAGCCAGTTGCCCCTCTCTGGTTCCTCTAGCTATCCCCCTTTTAGTCTCTTTCTCCTTTTTTCCCATTGATTGATTTGATCTGCCGCCCATCAGTGACACCTTACCAGTGTCTGTCACAGAGCAGACAGTGATGAACAAACTAATCTCATTCTCTTCCTTCTCTCTTCTTTCATTCTCATTTCTCATTCCTCCATCCTTTCCAACTAACTCATCCATGACTACTAACAATCTGTCTATCTACCTTCCATCACACTATCCTAATCAACTAATTCTTCAAAACAAACTCGCAAGCAGCAGTGTCCTCTGGAACAGAATTAACGAGAGGTGATTTTAGAGTTCGAATCTCTTTGCTTGAGTTTTTATTTGAGTTTGCTTTTTTCGTTTTCTGTTTCATCGTTTTGTTTATTTTACTTTTTGTTTTTGTTTTTTATTTATCATTTTTGAGAAATTTCATTTAATCTAATTTGTCTTGTTTTTGTCTCTACAGCCGTGCCTCGGTGATTCGTGGACAGATATCTGACTTGGGTGGTCAGGGAATAATCGGCGTCCGCGTTGGTGTTTCCACCGACCCTACGCTAGGCTTTACACTGACCAGAGAAAATGGCTGGTTTGATCTGCTAGTCAACGGCGGAGGCTCCATCACACTGCACCTCACCCGAGACCCCTTTAAACCAGTGCAAAAAGTCGTCTACGTTCCGGTCAATGAGATCGTCGTTCTGGACAAGATTGTTCTCACCCTGGACGGACAATCAGCTGAGCAGCTACTTCACGCGATGGACAGTAAAAAGTCCAGTCTCTGCGTTGATCACGACTACGAGAAGATGCGACCGATAATAGTGGCCAATTGGAAGCAGCAGTTCCAGAATGGTCACTCGGCAGACAAGTCAGCCATCCTCGCCGAATCGCAGATTGTGCAGGAGGCGGTGCGCATTCCCGGAACAGGCATCAACCTGGTTTATCACTCCTCTCGCTCTGCGGGCTTCCTCTCCACAATTGAGCTGCAGCTGACACCGGAGAAGATTGAGCCATCACTGCGACTGGTTCACCTGAAGATCGCCGTCGAAGGCATCCTTTACGAGCGAACCTTTGAAGCTGATCCGAACATTCTCTTCACGTACGCCTGGAACCGTCGCAACGTCTACCGGCAGAAGGTGTACGGCCTGGCGAATGCCGTCATTCGAGTGGGCTACCAGTACGTCAACTGCGCAGGCACTATTTGGGACGTGCAAACCGTGCAGCTGGCCGGCCATGATATGCCCATCTCCGAGATTGGCGGCTGGAATCTGGACGTCCACCACCGGTACAACTTCCACGAGGGCATTCTGCAGAAGGGCGACGGTAACAATGCCTTCCTCAAGCAGAAAGCCAAGCTGCTGACCACCAGCATTGGCGACGGACAACAGCGACCACTGCACTGTCCCTACTGCAATGGAGTGGCCAAGGACCAGCGCCTGCTGGCGCCTGTGGCCCTTGCTTCCGGTCCTGATGGCAGCCTCTACATTGGCGACTTCAATTTGGTCCGCCGACTGAAGCCGGATGGCTCCATTTTCACCGTGATTGAGCTCAGTGAGTCATCAGTGGCGTACAAGTACCACCTCACCGTGGGCCCAGTGGACGGCAAGCTGTACTTCAGTGATCCGGAGAAGCATCAAATCCTGCGAGCAATCGTTCTGGAAGCGAATGCTGACACACGGAACAACCTCGAGGTTTTTGTGGGCACTGGTGTAAAGTGCCTGCCCGGGGATCGAACTGTCTGTGGTGATGGCCGCTCTGCTCGTGACGCCAAGCTCTCCTATCCGAAGGGCATCGCCATTGCCCCCACCGGTGAGCTGTACATTGCCGATGGAACAAACATTCGCATGGTGGACACTTTTGGGGTGATTCACACGCTCATCGGTGATCACTTCCACAAGTCACACTGGAAGCCCATTCCCTGCGCCGGCTCTACGCCCATCAGCAAGCTGACGCTTCGCTGGCCCACACAGCTGACCATTTCTCCACTGGACCAAACACTGCACATTCTCGACGACCACATGGTGCTGAAGGTGACCACTGNCTTTTGGGGTGATTCACACGCTCATCGGTGATCACTTCCACAAGTCACACTGGAAGCCCATTCCCTGCGCCGGCTCTACGCCCATCAGCAAGCTGACGCTCCGATGGCCCACCCAGTTGACCATCTCTCCACTGGACCAAACACTGCACATTCTTGACGACCACATGGTGCTGAAGGTGACCACTGACAAACGAGTGGTCATCGTCGCCGGCCGACCCTCTCACTGTCCCTCCAATGGCCACCAACACCGACACGCCAATGACGCCAGCGAGGATAAGAAGGAGGTGATCGACTCGAAGGATCCACTGGCAACGTAAGTCATTGCACTTTGCTACTCAACCATTTCTAACTTCTTCTTTTTCTCCTACAGGCAAGTTTTCCTCGAGACACCGCAGTCCATTGCCTTTGGCCCGAATGGCGACCTGTACATTGCCGAGAGCGACTCTCAGAATACCAACCGAGTGCGCATCGTCTCAGTGGGCGACCAGAGAATATCGCGCTTTGCCGGCGCCGACATCAACTGCTCCTGCATGGACATCGCCTGTCAGTGCTTCTCCCCGGACGACCTGCTAGCANATACATTGCCGAGAGCGATTCACAGAACACCAACCGAGTGCGCATCGTCTCCGTGGGAGATCAGAGAATATCGCGCTTTGCCGGTGCCGACATCAACTGCTCCTGCATGGACATCGCCTGTCAGTGCTTTTCCCCGGATGACCTGCTGGCGGTGAACGCCCGTCTCTCTACCATCTCCTCGGTGACGGTCACCCCGGATGGCCGCGTGCACATCAGCGACCAGGAGAACCTGCGAGTGCGCACCGTCTACTCGCCACTGCCGCCGCAAAACGCCGCCACCGGCGAGTACGAGATCGTCTGGCCGGAGACGAGTGAGGTTTACGTCTTCAACCGCTACGGCCAGCACATCATGACCAAGTCGGCGCTGACGGGCAGTCTGCTGTACACCTTCGCCTACAATGTGAACACCATCAACGGACGCATCAGCTCGGTGACGGACGCCGCCGGCAATAAGATCTACGTCCTGCGCGACTACACCAATCAGGTGAAGAGCATCGAGAACTCGCAGGGTGACAAGTGCCGCCTGTCGATGACGAGGAACGCTGGTCTACTGGCCTCATTCACTACGCCAGCCAACTATGCCGTCAAGTTCAGCTACAACGGCGAGGCGCTGCTCACCGCCCGAACCGATTCCTGGGGACAGTCGGTACTGTACAAATATGACGAGTACGGCAGGGTGATCCAGTCGGTGCTGCCCACCGGAGATGTCCTGGCACTGGCCAGTCGACTCGCTTTTGACGGCACCAAGCGGATGACGGTGACCTACAATGACCGCAGTCTGATGCGACTCGATGTGAGCGACAAGGAGATCACCAAGTACATCGCCACCGGAGAGTCCTCCTCATCGTCAGAGGTGTTAACCCTCGAGCGACTCGGCCTGGTCACGCCCTCACTGAAGGGCTCACAGCGCAAGTTGGCCATTCGACGACGTGACACGAGCCACCTCGAGGTGGAGTCGCTCAGCTCACCTGTGATTGCCGACTCCTGGGCGAAGATGAGCGAACTGTGGCCGCTGCCCTCGTCGATGCGCATCATCTACAACAATGAAAACATCCGTCGCGTCGAGTACCGGTACTACGTGAAAAAGCGCAACTCTTCTGGTGGAAAGACCGCAGAGGAGGCGGCGAAGAAGAAGCCGACGCAGAGCTCAATCGGCCGCAAACTGAAGCTGAACGGCAACTCCATCTTCTCGATAGAGTTCGACAAAGAGGCCCGACAGCAGACGCTTTTTGACCACTCCAATCGCCCGATTCTGCACACCGTCTACGACAGCTCCGGCCGACCGATCAAGTTCATCTCCAACTTCAACCAGACGGCAGTGGCCCTCGACTACGACCGCTTCGGCCGCCTGCACACCTGGACGCGCGGTGTCCTCTCGCTGACGCTCGACTACGACATCAAGGGCCGTGTGACGCAGGTGAAGCACGGTGAGTCAGTCAGCGGCACCGTCTTCAAGTACGCCGACACCACACTGGGCCCGACTGAGATTGTCAAGCCCAGCGGCAGTCGGTACCTGCTGCAGTACGACGGCAGCGGCGGCTTGACCGCCGTCATGACGCCCACCGGCCAGCGACACGAGCTCTACCGCCAGGTCTCGCTCGGTTTCAACAAGCTGCTCTTCCTGCCGGCCGGCTTCCACCATCCCTTCACGGTGCTCTATGACGAGTGGGGCCGAGTGGTGAGTCGGTTGCTGCCGAACAACAGCGGCCGCAAGGTGAGCCTCTACAACGCCTTTGGCCTGGT